CCCGCCTGCCGCTGCTGGAGCGGCTGCACCTGGACGACAACTCCGTGTCCAGCGCCAGCATCGAGGAGGACGCCTTTGCCGACAGCTGGCGGCTCCGGCTGCTCTTCCTCAGCCGCAACCACCTGAGCAGCGTGCCCCCAGGGCTGCCCCACGCGCTGGAGGAGCTGCGCCTGGACGACAACCGCATCTCCACGCTGCCGCGGCACGCCTTCGCCGGCCTGCAGGGCCTGCGGCGGCTGGTGCTAGACGGGAACCTGCTGGCCAACCCGCGCATTGCGGACGACGCCTTCAGCCGCCTGCAGAACCTCACCGAGCTCTCGCTGGCGCGCAACTCGCTGGCCGCCCCGCCGCCCAACCTGCCCAGTGCCCGCCTGCAGCGGCTCTACCTGCAGGACAATGCCATCAGCCACGTGCCCGCCGGCGCGCTGGCCCAGATGCGCGAGCTGGAGCGGCTGGACCTGTCCAACAACAACCTGACCACGCTGCCCCGCGGCCTGTTCGACGGCCTGGGCGGCCTGGCCCAGCTGCTCTTCCGGAACAACCCCTGGTTCTGCGGCTGCAACCTGGCGTGGCTGCGGGCCTGGGCGGAGGCGCGTGCAGCCACGGTCAGTGTGCGGGGTCTCGTGTGCCAGGGCCCCGAGCAGGTACGGGGCGTGGCCCTCGAGGACCTGGCCGGCGAGATGGACGCGTGCCTCGAGCCGGGTTCGCCGCCCGGCGTGGCCGCCAAGGCCACAGCCGGCCAGCACGCGGCCTCCGCCACCACGCCCCAGGGCTCGCTGTTCACCCTCAAGGCCAAGAGGCCCGGGCTGCCCCTCCCAGACTCCGGCGTCGACTACCCCCTGGCCACGGGCGGCGGCGCCAAGGCCCTGGCCCTCCACGTGAAGCCCTTGACGGCAGACTCCATCCGCATCTCATGGAAGGCCACACTCCCCGCCACCTCCTTCCGGCTCAGCTGGCTGCGCCTGGGCCACAGCCCGGCCGTGGGCTCCATCACGGAGACCCTGGTGCAGGGTGACAAGACGGAGTACCTGCTGACGGCCCTGGAGCCCAAGTCCACCTACGTCATCTGCATGGTCACCATGGAGAGTGGCGGCGCCTCGGCGGCCGACCAGACACCCGTGTGCGCCAAGGCAGAGACGGCCGACGGCTACGGCCCGGCCACCACGCTCGGCCGGGAGCCGAGCGCCAGCGGTGCCCTGGCAGGCCTGCCCCTGGCAGGCGTCGTCGGGGGCACTGTGGCCCTGGTCTTGCTCTTCCTGGTCCTGGGGGCTGTCTGCTGGTACGCGCACCCAGCAGGTGAGCTGCTGACCCGGGAGCGGGCCTACGGCCGCGGTGGCCGGAAGGACAGCTACGTGGAGTCGGGGACCAAGAAGGACAACTCCATCCTTGAGATCCGCGGGCCCGGGCTGCAGATGCTGCCGGTCAACCCGTACCGCGCCAAGGAGGAGTACGTGGTGCACACCATCTTCCCCTCCAACGGCAGCAGCCTCTGCAAGGCGACGCACGTCGGCTACGGCACCACGCGGGGCTACCGGGCCGGCGGCATCCCCGACGCGGACTACTCTTACACC